TCGTGAGGCTCGATTTTATGCTTTCCCTGCCATGCCAGAGGGCGTTACTTCAGACGTAGTGATCACAGGTATTGTCTCAGTATGCTACATGGATGGTTCTATATTATTTGACCCTTGCTCAACTTATTCGCATTTATTATCATATTTTACTCGTTATCTGGATATGCCCCGTGAGTCCTTAGTTTTATCGGTTCATATATATACGCTGGTGGACGTTTCTATTGTTGTAGACCATGTGTATCGATCATGTGTGGTGACCATTAGGGGATTGAAGACGAAAGTTGATCTCTTATTGCTTAGTATGATTGATTTTGATGTGAATTTGGGTATGGATTGGTTGTCCCCATATCACGCTACTCTGGATTGTCATGATGACTCTGTCGTTGGTGATGCCCAGGATACCTAGGATCGAGTGGAGAGGTTCTCTGGACTACGTTCCCAATAGGGTGATTTCATATTTGAAGTCCCAAATAATGGTTGGGAAGGGTTGCTTGTCATATTTGCTTGTGTGAGTGATATTGGTGTTAATACTCCTACTATTAATTCTGTTCCGATCGTGCGAGACTTTTCAGATGTTTTTCCTAAAGACCAATCGAGCATGCTACCCGACAGGGACATTGATTTTGGTATTGACTTGGTGCTGGGCACTCATCCTATTTCTATTCCTTCGTATCGTATGGCACCGGCATAGTTGAAGGAATTGAAAGAGCAGCTTTGAGAGCTTCTTGATATGGGGTTCATTAGGCCTAGTGTGTCACCTTCGGGTGCACTAGTTTTGTTTGTGAAGAAGAAGGATGGTACTATGCGGATGTGCAATTTACCATAAGCAGTTGAGCAATGTTAAAATTCAGAACAAGTATCCTTTGCCACACATTGATGACTTATTTGACCAGCTTCATGAAGCTAGGGTGTTCTCTACGATTGATTTGAGGTCTGGGTATCACCAGTTGAAGATTCGGGACTCGGATATTCTAAAGAGGGTATTCATGAGCCGCTATGCTCACTATGAGTTCCTTGTAATGTCTTTTGGGCTGACAAATGCCCCCAACAGCATTAATGCATCTGATGAACAGTGTGTTCCAGCCATATCTTGATTCCTTTGTCATAGTATTTATTGATGATATTTTGATGTACTCACTTAGCCAGGAGGAGCATACACAACATCTAAGGATTGTACTACATAGGTTGAGGGAGGAGAAGCTTTATGCCGAGTTCTCCAAGTGTGAGTTTTTGCTTAGTTCGGTGGCGTTCTTGGGGCACATGGTGTCCACTGAGGGGATCAAGGTGGATCCGAAGAATATTGAGGCTGTTCAGAGGTTGCTCAGACCATCTTCAGCTACTGAGATTTTCTTGGCTTGGCCGAATATTATCGTCGTTTTGTAAAGGGTTTCTCGTCCATTACAGCGCCTTTGACCAGGTTGACCTAGAAGGGTGCACCATTCAGGTGGTCGGATGAGTGTGAGGAGAACTTTCGGAATCTCAAGACTACCTTGACCAATGCTCCAGTTCTAGTTTAGCCTTTAGCGTCAGGTTCTTATATAGTGTATTTTGATGCTTCTCGGATTGGTATTGGGTGAGTCTTGATGCAGGAGGGTAGAGTGATTACTTATGCTTCACGCCAACTGAAGCCTCGTGAGAAGAACTACCTTGTTCATGATTTGGAGTTGGCAGCCATCTTTCATGCATTGAAGATTTGGAGGCATTATCTCTATGGCGTTTCTTGTGAGGTATTTATGGATCATCGGAGTCTTGAACACTTTCTCAAACAAAAGCATCTAAATTTAAGGTAGCGAAAATGGTTGGAGCTGCTAAAGGACAATTATATTACCATTTTGTATCATCCCGGGAGGGCCAATGTGGTGGCCGATGCCTTGAGTAGGAAGGCGGAGAGTATGGGTAGCCTTGCATTTATTCATGTTGGCGAGAGACCACTTGCATCGGATGTTCAGGCCTTGGCCAATCAGTTCTTGAGGTTAGACATTTCGGATCCTATTCGGATTCTAGCTTGTGTGGTTTCTCAGTCTTTTTTATATGATCGCATCAGAGAGCGTCAGTATGACGACCCCCATTTGCTTGTCCTTAAGTACACGATTCACCACGGCGATGCAAGGACGTTTCTTGGACAGGTTCACATCGGGTTGCCTAGTACCGTGATAGGCGCCATCATGAATGTTGAGTTTTGGGTCGTGACATGAACGCCAAACTACCTATACTCTCGGCCTTTCTGCTCAAGGCATCCGCAACCACATTCATCTTGCTCGGATGATAAAGAACAGTGATATCATAGTTCTTAAGTAACTCAAGCCAGCTGCATTGCCCTATATTAAAATCCTTCTTCTACAATAGATGTTGCAAGCTGCGGTGAATGGTGATCGGGGTAAACCTCACGCGACACACCATAAAGATAATGCGTCCATATCTTGAGATCATGAACTATCGCAACCAACTCCAAATTTTGCACAGTCTAATTCTTCACGTGGGGCTTCAACTGATGAGAAGCATATGAAATCACTTGACCTCCTGCATCAATACACAACCTAACCTAACGCGTGAAGCGTCGCAATACATAGTGTGCATTCCTGATTTGGATGGAAAGACCAACATCGCTGCTATAGTTAATGAGGTCTTGAGCTTCTGATAGTTCGCCTTGCAGTCATTGGGCCACCTGAACAGAACACCCTTCTGGGTTAATCTAGTCAAAGAAGCTATAACAGACGAGAAGCCCTCCACAACCCGACGATGGTAACCTGCTAGCCCCAATAAAACTATAGATCTCGATCACTGTGGTAGGACAAGGCCAACTCTGAACTACCTCGATCTTCCTGGGATCCACCTTAATACCCTCTCCTAATACATCATGCCCCAAGAAAGCCACAAAATCTAACCAGAAATTGCATATGGAGAACTTAGCATATAGTTTTTCTTCCCTCAAAGTCTGAAGCACTACCCTCAAATGTTGCTCATGCTCCTCCATGCTACGCGAGTAGATCAATATGTCATCAATGAAGACAATGACAAATGAGCCCTGATATGGCTGAACACCTGATTCATCAAATCCATAAATTCTAACGGAGCATTACTCAAGCCGAATGACATTCTAGAAACTCGTAATTCCCATATCTAGTATGAAAAACTATCTTGGAACATCCGGAGCACGAATCCTCAACTGCTGATACCCAAATCTCAAGTCTATCTTCGAGAACACCCTAAAACCATGAAGCTGATCAAATAAATCATCAATGTACGGTAACTGATACTTATTCTTCACAGTAACCTTATTTAGCTAGCGGTAATCAACGCACATCTGCATGCTCTCATCCTTCTTATTCATAAATAACACTAATGCACCCCAAGGAGACACCCTTGACCTAATGAATCCTTTATCAAGCAACTCTTGAAGCTTATCGTTTAGCTCTCTTAACTCTGCTGGAGCTATACGATAAAGCAGAATAGAGATAGCCTGGGTGTATGTTGCTAAATCAATACCGAAATTGATATCATGTTCTGGTGGCATACCTGGTAAGTTAGCAGTAAATACATCATAAAACTCCCGGACCACATGCATTGAATCTATCACGGGACTCTCCACAGTAGTGTCTCGAACAAAGGCCAGATAGGCCAAACAACCCTTTTCGACCATATCTCGAGACTTAAAGAGATAAATAACCCGACTGGATGCACTACTAGATAAACCTTTCCACTCTAGCCAAGGCAACTCTAGGATGGCCAAGGTAACAGTCTTGGCATGTCAATCGAGAATGGCATAATGCGAAGACGACCATGCCAGGGATAAACTTGAAATCGATCATATCGAGTAATAGAAGACCCACTCTGGTCTCATAGCCACGAAAAGTCACTACATAGGACTGGTAAACCCGATTTACAATGATAGAATCATCCACCAGCGTAGACACATATTCATGAATACCAAGGACTCACGCGATACATCCGGATAAGAATCAAAAAGAGAAGATACATAGGAATAGGTATACCCTGGATCATATAGTACTAAAGCATCTCTATGGCAGATGGAAATAATAAATGTGATCACGGAATTAAAGGGTACTGCCTATGGTCTAGTTGGAAAGGCATAGCATCTAGCCGGAGCTCCACCTAACTGGCCTCCACCTCTAGGGCGACCCCTACCCACATGCTCTCTGCCTGTGACTAGCCGGATGGGCAGTGCGGCAGATGGTGCGGTAATCATAAGTTGATGGCCCTGCTGCAATTCCTTGCCCCGAAGTCTGGAACAAAACCTCTTCACATGATCAAACTCCCCGCCTTCTTAGAAACCTCTCGGTGTGGGAAATTTTTGACTCTGGATCTACCCTAGATAGCTAGAGTACCCAGTGGAGGAACTCTGAATAACCGATGGACGGTAGGTGCTCTCTGGAATGGCACTAAAGTAAGGCCACGTTGGAGCAACCCAAATAGGCTGTGGTGCTGGATATATGATCCTGCTAGGATGGTCCCTCACAAACTAACCTCTACACCCAAACGGGGCGCCGTTGAACCCTCTATAATTCCAAGGTCGTTATTCCCTGAACATGAACTCTCTGCCTTGAATGCGGATGCTCTCGATCATCTAATCTATCTACACAACCAGGGGGAAGAAGTCCCCAACTCTACCACTTGGGCCATAGTAACCCAAATCCCATAGTGCAAGCCCATAATAAACCTCTGCACCCTCTCTCCCTTTGTGGAATCTCGCCTCATATTCGCTCACAGACATCTCACCCTACTGGAGCTATTCAGACTGATCTTGTAACTCCTCCATCTGTGAAGCTGGAATGTACTTTTCTAGGAAGATGTGCGCGAACTGATCCCAAGTCAATGGAGGTGAATCTGCTGGCCTACTCATATGATAAGACTACCACCATCTACGCGTTTTCCCCTTTAGTTGAAAAGTGATGAAGTATACCCCGTTGGACTCCACTAGTCCCAAATTATGTAGCCTCTCTATGCAATGGTCAATGAAATTATGTGGGTTCTTTGACTGCTCACCGCAAAAAATGGGGAGGATGAAGCTCAGTAAATCTTAGCCGCTTCTTCTTCTCAATGGTCGCATATGGTCTGTTCTCTATTCTAGCCACTGCAATCAGCTGAACTCCGCCGATAGGTAGTACCCGTAGAATCTGATAAATGGCAGTAACATGCCCTAGTGCACGAGCGATAGGGGTTTGTGCTCCGCCTCCTGCCTAAGATGTGTCCGGGTTTGCTGTAAATAATCCAGCCGAAGTCATAGAGTCCATGAACCGCAACATACGGCCCATGACCTCCTAGAAGCTCGGTATAGTCATGAACTCTAGTAGAGCCTGCTTGACTGCAGGTATCTCATCTTGTTCCTCAATAATAGGATCCTCAATTGTGTCCACTAGTGTTGCCACTAGGGAAACTCCCGGACACCCTCATCCCTAGATGGAGCTCTATCACTCTTTTGGCCTCTGCCTCAACCTCTGATGATCGGGGGAGCAGGCCCTCTGCAACAGGATGATGCCATAGAGCGCGTTCTCACCATCTAAGAGAGAATAAGAGAAATATTTAGACATAAAATACATTGACACCACGATAGGAAAAGAATAAAGAGATGTTTCCTAACACCTTATAGCCTATCGAAGATAAGTACAGACATTTCAGCACCGATGCACAAGACTCTACTAGGATTGCTCATGACTCGTGAAACCTATATGAACCTAGTGCTCTGATCAAAACTTACAAAATAGTATAATAACCTTCTTACCCATCCTCGTAGGGGACGATTATCAATCGATTATAACTATCAAATTGTACATCCCCTCCAAGATTCTGCTTGCGTCTACTAGATGATGCAGAAACAGCACTAAATGTAGTTGGGCGAGAGCCTCCAATATCCAACCTAGATATGCTGGGAATGGATGATGATGATGGACTGGAAGATGATGGAGCAATAAAAGACGAACCATCATGCTGACTACCATGAAATCTCGGGAATGCAACAACTAGTGAGCCACCATGCTGACTACCACGAAAGCTCGGGGGTGCAGCAGCTGGTGAGCCAGTATGCTGACTACCATAAAAGCTCGAGGGTGCAGCAGCTGGTGAGCCAGTATGCTGACTACCATAAAATTCCGGGGGTTCAACAGCTGGTGAGCCACCATGCCGACTACTATGAAAGCCCGGTGAAGATGATGGTATAGAAGGGAGTGGGTACAAAGTTAAAAACGGTGTTACTTTGACTTCTTTTGGCATCCATAGAATAATACTAAACTGAATTATTAGATGGAGGGGGGATAGTGAACATGGTAGATGGCAATGAAGTCTACTGAAGAAGATGAGGAAGAGGAGGACTCATATTTGGCATACTTGAGAAAGTTAGAACAGATTGTTTTTTCTTCTTAGGTTTTGTTTTTTCCTTTCCCTTAGATGTCATATCGGTAATATAATCATAATAAAATACAAAACAAAAATTACAACAAGTAACAGTAAATATAAAATAATTAAACGACTGAAGAAATAAATAAACAACCTAACAAGTCATAAAAATATAAAATAATTTTGCAACATAATAGATAATTAAAGGAATAACATCAAATGTTTAATATGTCATAAAAAAACCTACAACAATTCTTCAAATATTAAATGATTGAAGGAAGAACAACCCAAAAAAGAATAACAAGTCAATCCTCATCGCTATCTTCATAGTAATCATCTAAGTCTTCATCATCGTCTGTTTCACTTTCATCTAGTAATTCTTTCTCATCACTTGTTTCATGTTCAACGCCTCTATCTTCGTCCTCATTTGGTCCAAGCACAGAAGGATCAAATTCTTCATATGTCCCTTCATTATGCTGCAATTCATCTACTAATTTATCATACACTATTGATTCAACATTTCAAATGTCATTCTGATACACCGCATCTAATGCATCTTCCACTACCACTCTACCCACGGGCTTTGTTTTCAAAACTACCCGCCATGCAGGCTTATTCTTGCTCAAAGAATAAGGAGCATAATACACTTGTTTCACCTTTTGTGTAATGATAAAGGGATCATAATGTTTATACTGCCCCATGTGTTTAATTTCAACTATTTTGTAATGAGCGTGCACCTTGGTACCTCTATTCGGTGTTGGATCATACCATTTACGTCGAAAGAGTACCAACTTTTTCTTCGTCCAACCTACAGCATACTCCAATTTCAAAATCTCTTGAAGCACACCATAATAATCAACATCTCCATCACGTTTCACCCACACCCCACAATTGTTGGTTTTCTTTCCATTAGACCATTCTTCTGTATGAAACTTGTACCCATTGACCAAGTATTTAGACATCATTCTTACTCTAGGGTCAGGTCCCCAAGCTATATCACGTAAAAATGGATCATTAATGCCATTAGCTGAATCATGAACCTATATATATAATTAAATATAATTTAGAATTTTAAATATACATATAATTAATTTACATATAAGAAAAATCATGCTAAATAATAAGTATTACTTACAAATTCTTTAAACCACTCTGAAAACTTGGGATAAACATCTTGCCCATATGTACCCACAAAGTAACTTCCATTATAACATTTATTAGTTAAATTAGTGGTAGATCTAATATAAAAGTCCGTAATATATACGAATATATACTTACCTATAATAAGGTTGGACCTCAGGGCAATTCGACAATAAATGTGTTGTAGCTGACTTTATCTCCATCTCAGACAACCTTCGCTTTGGACTATTTTGTGGACCTCCTCTACCTGGTTGATTAAAAAAGGAAAAGGATGGTTCCAAATGATAGAATTCGCCTCCATCGTCATGCCAATTCGATATATTTCTCAAACATGGCACATCATGTTCAATTTACATTTTCTGGATCTATTTTTTATGGTCCGTTTACATTTTCCAATAGTCCTGCATAGTGTTATTGTTAGATGAAACAATCTTTAAAGCAAATAAAAAAAAGGTAAATGATAAATTTCATTACCTCTCGAAGGGATACATCCGTCTACACTGAACTGGCGCTCCAAGCCATGCCTCTTGTGCAAGGTGAATTGGAAGATGTTCCATTACATCAAAAAAAAAAAACCAAGAGGAAAATTTTTTGCCAGCTTGTTTAAAGTGAATGGATGAAAATGATAATAGATTTCAATTAAGCTTAATTCCATGAAAGTCAAACGATATTAAAAAAGTTAGGAGTAAGACATATTGTCAAAAGTAGTCAACTAGCACTAAGAGTTTTAATACATTCTTCATACTTTCTCGTCTTAAAATTAGTACCCTCCCCAATATAATCAAATGAGATGAATTTCCTTTACAAATTAGTTAGTAAAATTAATTAGTAAAATTATCCCCAACTTGGTACAAACCAAACTAGGAGCAATTAAACAAAATCAGTGTATTTTTAAAAAAATAAAAATAAAGGAGGGTCACTACTAGAAATCCGCTAATTAGCGACCATAAAAAGCGACCAACGTTGGTCTGTTTAGTCAAATTACCGACCAAAACGCGTCCAAACAGGCTTGGTCGCTATTTTGATGGTCGCTTTAGTATACCGACCAAGGTTGGTCGCCAGTTACCGACCAAGGTTGGTCGCAAAGGTAAAAGGACCAACTGTACAATTTAAAGCACATACCGACCAACTTTGGTCGGTAATATATTTTAATAATTTAATTTTACCGACCAAAGTTGGTCGGTGTATTTAAATTACGTTATTTTATTAATTATTAAAATTTAAAAATTAGCGACCAAAGTTGGTCGGTAAAGTAAAATACATTTTTTTTTACAAAGATTAAAATATAACCATACCGACCAAAGTTGTTCGGTAAAGTAAAATATATATATTTTTTTAAAAAATTAAAATTTAACCATGCCAACCAAAGTTGGTCGGTAAAGTCTAGGTAATCCTTGTTCATTAACCGACCAACTTTGGTCGGCAATTTTTAATTTTTAATTTTTTTTTTAAAAATTAAGCGACCAACCTTGGTCGCTAATCAGCAGAAAATTAGTTTTTTAATTAGATACTGTCCAACCCAATTTAACTACAGGTCGTGATGGCGCCCAACACCGTTGTCAGGCAAGCCAATGCGGAAATATTGATAAGTTCTAGTTTTACTTTTCCAAAATAGTTACAACAATTTCTAAATGTGAATTAAAAACGAGTGGTAATTAGCAACGCACCATAATAATTATACAATCCCAATATAATAGTCTACTAATGTGTGTGCCAAGATCTAGTGTCACAAGTATGTGGGCATCTAGTAGAATACACAAAAAGAATAAATCTCTCCTACTGTCTGAACTAAAATAGACAGCCAAAAAGTAAAGAAGGACTCCATCACGCTGGTGAACAGCATAGGGAAGGAGCAGCTCACCGTGGAATCTCGGACTAAGATCAAGTATGCGCACCAGGCTGGTAACCAGATGTACCTACCTCAGATCCTGTACAATTAAGTACAAAAGTGTAGTATGAGTAAATAAACAATATGTACCAGTAAGTATCCCGTTAATCTCGAAGAAGTAGAGACGAGCGGTCGACTTGACACTTACTAGGGTCAATTAATATAAAAGAGTGCTATACTAAGCATGGATGTCACATTTAAATAACAATTTATAGCAAGAAGTGATAGGTCATTCCCTAGATGTTGTTACAGTTAGCCATTTACATTTAAGGGCATTTAGCAAGGCAAGTTATGAATAAGAATTCACATAGATATCATACGCACATCATGCCAAGGTCGTACGGCCCAGTCCAACATAAAGAAAATGTGCACTGCCAGAGGGTCGAATGGCGCGAACCATAGATGCATCTATCTCTACCGAGGCGATCGGCCCGATCCACAATTATTAATTATCATAAAAAAAGGCACATAAGGCACAATCATAGTCAAATAAATTCATACAAGTTATCAAGAAAGTGCATGTGTTCTTATACTTTTATTTCCAACCCCTAACAAATCCTAAGTGATCTCATTAACATGAAAGGATATAGATATTGGCAAATATAGCATGATACGGGCCCTAAACTACCCGGACAATTTAAAATAATAGTAGCTGCGCAGGGACTCTCGTCACCTCGTGCGTACGTAGCCCCCACAATTAGCAACACATGATTTAATTAACTCACCTATGGGGATAATTCCCTCTTACAAGGTTAGAAAGGAGACTCACCTCGCTCCCATGCGTACTTCCAATATCAAGAACGTGATCAAACCCTCAATTTGGAGCCGAACGATCCAAAACTAATTAAACGAGGTAGGAACTAGTCAATACAAGCTTAAGGGTTTGCTTTTTAATTACTAAAGTAATTTCCCAACCTTAAACACAAGCTTCCTAAAATCCGACCCCGGGCCCACGTGCCCGGATTCCGAAATTCTTCGAAGAAAGTTGTTCTTTATAACTTAAGGATCAATAATACATGATTTCTACTTCATTCCATAAATAATTTTGTGGTAAAATATAATTTTTATCAAAAGCCTAGGTTTTGCTCTAATCTCATGATTTTCCTTAATCTTTGTGTGTTAATCTACCCGAGGTTCAAGTATTAAACTAGAAATAAGTAGGATGAACTTACCTCAAGATACTAGGTGAAAGTCTTCCCTCAAGAGCCCAATAAATGAGTGAAAATGAGAAAATATGGCCCGGAGCCCGTAATAAATGAAGGCCACTGCCTTTTGCAATTTCCGCATCTGCGGTCCTGGGCCGCAGCTGCGCCCACTGCTTCTGCGGATAGAAGTCCGCTTCTGCGATCTGGGCCGCTCCTGCGGACAAGCCCACCGCTCTTGCGGTTTCGCTTCTGCGGATTAAGGGCCGCTTCTGCGGCCTTGGGCTGCCTGGCTTGGGCCGCTCCTCCGATAGGTGGACCGCTTCTGCGGTCTCGCACCTGCGGCTTACCAACCGCAGGTCCGGTTTTGACAGCAACCAGCAGCTTTAACCCTTTCCTAAATTCCTAACTCAACTCGAGCCGCGTTCGTTCGATGCTCGGGGCCCCGCCCGAACATACCTACAAGTCCGAAATGATAAAACGGGCTTGCTCGAACCCTCGAAACGCCCGAAACAATGCCAAATCTAAGAATCACCCCCAAAACCAATTGAATCAAACTTATGAACTTCAAGTTCTTCAATTTACTTCTGACGCACCAAAACGTACATATACCACTCGGATTGACACCAAATTTTGCGAGCAAGTCTTAAATGTTATATTGGACCTGTACCAGGCTCCGCAACCAACATACGGGCCCGTTACCAACA